CTGAGAGGGGAGGACACGGCGCAAGGTGGGGTGGTAAAACTGCCAGCCAGGCGCGTCAGGGGGAAAGCCAAGGAAAACGCAGGGAATAGCGTGGGAATAGAGCTTGTCCGCGGAAGTATCGCGGACAAAGGCACGAGAGCCCCAGACCCAGAACACCGACGCATCGCCAACCTCCCCTGTCCAACGCAGTGTAGGCGAGGTCTCCGCCAAGGAGACACGGGGCCAGAGGTTGAGCTGATGTGCAGCGTACCGGAATCCAAACGGCCACAGAAAATGGGGAGCAGCCGCATGAATCATGGACTAAGCCAATGCGGCGCTCAGCAACCCCATTTTGCTGCGGGGAGGCCAGAAGCGTGAACAATTGGAGGATGCCCACCCCACGACCTAGAGTTCGGAGGAGAGCTCACCACCTCTGTTAGAGTGTAGACGTAGGACAGGAAGGTCCTCACGGAACCGCTCACGGAGCTGGAGACGGACTGCGCGGATCCAAGGGATCAAGACATCAGGGACCTCACCCTTCCTGCGGAAGGGGAAGACCGTGGTGTAACGCGTGTAGTCGTCAACTACCAGCAGGAAGTAGCGCTCGCGCTCCTGTCCACTGACGCGGGCTGGGCCCCACACGTCCATGTGGAGAGTCTCCAGGGGATCAGTCGTCGGGGGATACGAGGAGGAATGAGGAGCGGTGCGCTACCGCCCCTGGACTCAAGGAAGGCAGGGCGGGGCAGGGGAGGGCGGGAGGGGAGGCAGAGACCTGGGAAGACCAGAAACAAGGAGGCGGGAGTGCATGCCACGAAGTCGTGGCAGGGAGGGGTGACCAAGGCGATGGTGCCATAGGAGAGTCTGGTGCGACATGAGGCGACACGAGCAGGGGGCTGCTACCAGACCTGACGCGGACACCTGAGAAGAGGCAGCTTCCTGAGGAGGCTCAGCAGTCAGTTTGTACAGACTCGACCCAGGCCGACGGGTGAACGTGGCCAGGTGACGGCTCATCCGTGTAAACGTACAGATCGACACACGCTGACCCCCAGGAGTGGTGGTAGTGACTATCGCATCCTGGAGGGCACCGGTACTCACCAAGTTTGCAAAGAACGAGGGGAGGTGAAGACCTGAGAGTAAGTTGGACAGAACCGCCAGACACGGGAGAACAATGGAGGAACGGGCAAGAACTGGGCCCCCTGAGGGTTCAGCCAGTCTGATCGGAACAGGTGCATGCAGTGGAGTGAGGGTGGTACTGTCGCGAAAGAAACAGCGGGAAGCACCTGAGTCAAGTGTGAAGGTGTGCAAGGCCTCATCAGGCGCAGTACCAGGGAGAGCAGACTCACTAGCACCTAGAGCAGCAGCCTCTATACCTGGGTCGGGTGGCACACATAGGTAATAGTCACCCTCAGCACTAATAGACAAGGCATACATGGCAGCAAGGATAGCATCATAGTCAAGAGCAAAGATATCAACTCCATACCTAAGCAGCTCTAGCCAGCAGGGGCGCTCAACCTCGTCGCCAAACTCTGCGCGCCAAGCGTCGTCAAGGCGGGAGTAGCAGCGGTGCTGTGTGTGAAACTTCCCGCATGTTTGACCAGCGCGGTCACCTGTGCGAATGACATACGGGCAGCGAACACTACCCCTAGATGCCCCATGCTGAGCAAACTACTCACGAAGCTGCTGGGGCGTAGGGGTCTCGCTCCGACGCTGCTGGTGCTGCCTCTGGCCAACGCCAGAACCTCCCCGCTGAACAGCTCCACCCCGTCCGCCACCACTGCCGCCGCCACCACTCCCACTGCCGCCACCACCACCACCCCCACCCCCACCGCTGCCACCACTGCTGCCACCGAAGCCCCCACTCCCGCCACCACTCCCACCGCAGCCTCCACCTCCACCTCCGCCACCTCCACCGCCTCCACTGCCTCCACTCGGCTAGGAGGGCAGCGCGGTAGCGAGTGTCGCTAGTGCAAAGGTGGGTAATGAGGTCCTCAAATGTGGCAAAGGCTGACAGCTCGGGAAACAGGTAGGGCAGTATAAGGCAGCCGAGAGCAGCAGTAGCAAGGGAAGAGTAACGAGCGACTACATCATCGTACAGGGCTTTAGCAGTCTTTTGTTGGCCAAAGTGATCGCGTTCGGCTAACGGCAGGTGGTTGCGAACGACTAAGCGGGCAGCAGCGTCACGGGTAAGCCACTGTGAGCGAGTTGCACTGTCAGCTGTGACGGGAGGGGCGAGAGAGGCTCCAGACGTGTGGTCAAACAACGAAACGCTGTCTCTAGAATAGCTCAGTAGGTACAAGTGTAAGTCGTCGAGCCACGTATCGAACTGGATCGAACGGCCCTCATGATCGAATGTGAGAACACTGAGAGAAGCCATAGTGGGCAGAGCAGGGTGGCGCACGACCAGCAGGGCAGCACGCAAGCAGGGCGGCGCGCGAGCACTAGGGAAGCGCGCAGGGCAGGGAGAGGCGGCGCACGGCTAGGGAAGAGCGGCGCACGGCCAAGGCAGGGCACTGCAATGGCAGGGCAGGGCGGCGGTTAGCTGGGCGGCGCGTGGGCAGGGCAGGGTGGTGCGGCTGCCAGCAGGGCGGCACGCGGGCAGCAGGGCGGCGGGCAGCAGCAGGGCAGGGCGGGCAGCAGCAGGGCAGGGCGAGCAGCAGCAGGGCGGCACGGGCAGGGCGGTGCGGCCAGCGGTGCGGCTGCCAGCAGGGCGGCGCGCGGGCAGCAGGGCGCCGGCCAGCAGGGTTGCGCGCAGCAGGGCGGGCAGCAGCAAGGCGGCGTGAGCAGCATGGCGGCACGCAGCAGGGCGGTGCGAGTAGCAGGGTGGCTCAGCACGGGCAGGGCAGGGCGGCGCGGCTACTAGCAATGCGGCGCGCGGGCAGGGCAGGGCGACGCGACGGCCAGCAGGGCGACGCGACAAGCAGGGCAGTGCGACGCGACTAGTGGGGCAGCGCTATGTGGTGGGCCCTAAAAAAACGGTGCTGGAACAGGACCTGCTCTGATACCATGTCAGAATACTGAACGAGAATGAATGCATTGATCAGAAAGTTGGTAGAAGTACTAACCCTAATTGGGTTGCATCCCTTATTGGCTACCCCATTACAGCCTACACAATGTAAGCATTATAGCATTTTGACACTCTGGTCGGTACATTCTCTTATTAACTGGATTGCATTGCTACGGTAACCACGACTATTGCTCTTCTAGACAGTTACCAAGTTGCATCGCGTAACTGCCAAGTGCAGTTAGTGGTCGGTCAAGAGTCACGACCGCTGACTGTCCTCGACTGTTGACCTTCGGGTGACTCTCGATCTTCCGCATGCTCTATATGAGCTATTGCGGTACTGTTACAGACGCTTTGCTTCGTTATGAAGTGACGCGTGAGTGGAGATCCTTCGGGAATATTAGCTTGACATTTCTGTTTTTCCAACATAATGTTGTTTATCTCAAACTTTTTTTCCAGGCTGAATATCCCATCGCAAAAAGTTTGACAGAACCCCTTTGCCTGGGTCGACAAGGTGGGTCGACGAGCCAGGCAATGTCGGGGCGGAACACTGACGCGCGTGCGGACTAGTTCATGTTTTGTATAGAATCTCAAAGTTACACTAGTGTTGAAAGTAAGGTGAATTGTTGTTTATCTCAAACTCCATTTTCCAGGCTGAATGCCCTGGTAGGACGCGCCTACAGGCACCCTCGTTGTCGCCCATCCGCTGAAATGGCGGGAACGCTACCCCACACACCCACAACACCTAGGGGTTGCCGTGGACAAAATGCAGCAGTGCAATGCTTTTCTTCAGGCAGGAGCCAGGAGGAAAGGCTTTCTAGTAGGTCTTTTTGCTGCTGGTTCACCACAGATTAGATACTATTAGGCAGCTACAGTATCCTGCTTCGGATCGCAGCTACGTACCTTCTTCTGCGTCACGCGCACTGGTTCTATGTGCTGTTATCTCTCATTTTTTCGCCACGTCGCTCGGTTTATGTCTCCCTTCTGCTTAAGAGAGTGCGTTGAAACGCCTGAGTGATCGAGTCGCTTTAGGGTTTGATACCGAAAACAGCCCGAGTTCGTCGCCGTCCGTCGCCGGTTTGTTTCAAGGCGATCCGACGAAGCTCGTTGGGCATGCTGTACTATTAGGATTGCCTTTTTTACTCGTCAGCAGCCACGAGAACCGTTTTCAATGCAGCCACGAGAACCGTCCGATTCTTTCACATCAGCCGTCGGATTGAAACGTACGCGCTGTTGATGCCAGCGCTGATCGCTGCGAGGCCCATGGACGATCTGATGACGCAAGCTAGGGTACGTGATAACTTCAGCTGAGGTACGCGATCCAGCAAAGGGCTATGTCGACTGTTGATGCAGTGACGCGAGGCTGCTAGCCTGTTCTTATAAAAGACAAAGACGACTAGCGATACAGTGAAGCGACGCGGCTAGCTTGTTCCTTTATTTGCAAGACTGGGTAGTGATGCCTTGACGTGAACCCTGAATGTCGTCTGGTGCGAGTCCGGCTTGCTTGTTCGAAAAAACGTCGTACGCTTTCGCGCATGACGAGTGTTTCCTTTCTATGCTCCGCTATAAGCAGCAGGCCACTTGCGCATCCTGGCTGGTGGTAACCTGCGTAATCAAATTCCCACGAATTTATCGTACGCGATTCGTGCGTCTCGTGCAATTTGCGGACTCTCTTCGCAGTCGAAGCAGCTCAGTCTAACCGCAATGGCTATGGCATCATGGCTGTATCATCATGGCTGTATCATCATGGCTGTATCATCATGGCTGTATCATCATGGTTGTATCATCATGGTTGTATCATCATGGCTGTATCATCATGGCTGTAGCATCATGCCTGTAGCATCATGGTTGTAGCATGGTGGCTGTAGCATCATGGCTGCGATATCGTGGCTGTAGCATCATGGTTGTAGCGTGTTGATTGTAGCATCATGGTCATCGCATAGTGGCGAAGTGGCCGTAGCATCGCGGCTTCTCTCTCATTTCCCTTCACCAACTCTCTTTCCCTCAAACCTCCCTGCAGTCGCAGCTCGCCTGCTTTCGACTGAAGGAGCTCAAGGACGTGTTGGGCCATCTAGGCTTGTCCAAATCCGGCAAGAAGCAGGTCAGTTGCGCCCACGCTGGCAGCTCTATAGCGCGGATAATAGTGGAGGTCTTAGCGCAGATAAAGCGTGCTGGTTTGCAGAGGAGCAGCAGCCAGTAAGGGTGGGAAGGAAGTTGAAGGCGGTATGGTATGATGTGCATGTATGGGACTGTGCTGTTGCTCTCTAACGTGAGACACCTCCTGGCAGTGACTGGTGTTCTGCGCAAGGGGGCAGCATTGGCTGCAGTGGCAGCAGTGACAGCAGTGATAGCAGTGAAAGCCGTGTCAGCAGTGACAGCAGTCACAGCAGTGAAAGCGTGACACCAGTGACAGCAGTGTAAGAAGAAAGTTGAATAGGCAGTGGCTGCTGGGGGAGTGTTGTTGGGTCCTGACATAACTCACCTCCTTGCAGTGTGACGTGACCTGCTAGTGGAACGAAGGCGGCAGGCAGCACAGCATTGTAAGAAGCACAAGAAGCATGCATTTTGCAGCATTTGATATTTTGCAGCATCGGGTCCTTGCTTTGGTGGCTGACATGATTCACCTTCTGGCAGTGACTCGCGACCTGAAGGGTGCAGCCTGCAGGGTGCGATTCAGCAAGTCTATCAGTAGCAGCGACTTCAGAAGCAGTAGCAGCGTTTTTAGAAGCATGCCGCACATGCCTCCCATGCCTCACATGCCTCACATGCCTCGCATGCCTCACATGCCCTACATGCCTCACATGCCCCACATTCATCACATGCCTCACATGCCTCACATGCATCACATGCCTCACATGCATCACATGCCTCACATGCCTCACATGCTTCACATGCCCCACATGCCTCACAACATGCCTCACATGCCTCACATGCCCCACATGCCTCACATGCCTCACATGCCTCACATGCATCACATGCCTCACATGCCTCACATGCCTCACATGCCCCACATGCATCACATGCATCACATGCCTCACATGCCCCACATGCCGCACATGCCTCACATGCCTCACAACACATGGCACGGGGAACAGGTGCTGGTGGATCGAATCGAAGCGCTCTTATCATCCCCATCTGTTCCCTTCAATGGCCGTAAGTGCTCCTTCTCCCTCCAACGACTTTTGAGGCGCCTCAAAAACCTCCTCCCTCCAACGGGCGTGAGTTGCTTTCCTCTAGTAGCCATGATTGCATCTTCTCATCTCAACACAAGTGTATTGGTCTCGCATTCCACAGCAAGCAACCCTGCCACGTGGCCCGCCCTAGCCGTCTCATGCACTCCTCCTATTGGTCCTCCAATTGCGTACATGTCATCTCATAAAGTCTATCTCCCTCCACTCATCCGCCCCTCTCCCTTCTTTACTCGCTGAACCAAGATCATCATCATGCCGACTCTAACGTGCATCCATCTCCCTCCGCCCATCCCTCCGGGGCTTCCTGCATCTTTCCTTCGCCCTTTGCGTCCGGCCTTTCGTACCCCGTGTCCTCCTTGCAGGCGTGCCCACCATCACTCCCACGCAAGTAGCCGAGTTCATTCAAGACACGTACAGGTAGAATGGCGCGTGAGGGAGGTGCGCGTGAGGGAGGTGCGTGTGAAGGGGGTTGCGTGTGAAGGGGAGTGTGTGTAAAGTGGGGTGCGTTTGTGAGGCAGGTGTGTTTGAAGTGGGGTGCGTGTGAAGTGGGGTGCGTTTGTGAGGCAGGTGTGTGTGGAGGGGACAGGCGCGCGTTCCTGCTTATTCGCCCCACCCCACCAACCTTCCGTTCTCATCTTATCCCCTTCAGGTCGCTGCGTCACCCAGCATTGAAAAGGCTCTCGCTCCACTCCTATACATTCACTCCCCTCCCCCTCTTCAACTTCCTCTCCCATCATTTCTCGTTTCGTTCCTCCCTTCTTTCCGCCCCACTGCAGGGTGCTGTGAAGCACGAGGCAGAGGAGCCGAGAGAAGATGCTTTGTTCTTTTCCTCCCTTCATTCCGTCCCCCATGCTCGCATGCTCGTGCCTTGGAACATCTTGCAGGTCGCTGCGAACCACTGGGCAGCAGGATGACACGCGCGTCGCCTCCCCAGTGCAGCCGCAGCGAAGGGGAAAGGAGAGGCCTTGCGTTCCTCTCATCATTCTGTGACCTGTCCCCGCCCATCCCCCTTCCTCCCGTGGTCAATGCTTTGGAACCCCTTGCAGATCGCTCCGAAGCACGGGGCAGCAGGCTGACACGCCCGTCGCCTCCCCAGTGCAGCCGCAGAGGAGGCGAGAGGAGAGGGTCGACAGGGACGTGGGGGAGGGCGCGGAGAGGGGGGACGGAGGAGCAGAGACAGCTGGTAGGGCGGAGACAGGTGCTAGGGTAGAGGTAGTTGGTAGGACAGAGGCGGGAGCAGGGGAAGACGGGAATATGGCTCCTGATGGAGGCTTCGCTTCCCCGCAGCAGCAGCAGCAGCAACAACACCAGCAACAACCCCAGCAGCAGCAGCAGCAAAGTAGACATGGGCATGGGCACGGCCACGGGCACGGGCACGGGCACGGGCATGGGCACGGGCACGGGCATGGGCATGTGTCATCTAGGGGAGTGAAAACAGAGCCAGGCGGGGGAGGGAGGGCTAGTAAGAGGGCGGCTGCTGGAAGGGGGGATGTGTACGGGCAGCAGCAGCAGCAGGTGGAGGTGATTCGGTGTGTCTGCTTACGGAACTTTGACAACGGGAAGACTATGATCCAGGTGGGTGGGTGGATGTATTGTTGTGGTGGTGAAACGTGCCTGCATGCATAGAGACGTACTTACTAAAGTTGATGGAAGTAACGCCTCCGCACAACAGCCCACCTACGCAGCCCACCTCCGCAGCCCACCTCCGCAGCCCAGCTGTCCATTCATTGTTGACACGTTCTGTGGCGGTGGAACCTGCCTGTGTAGAGAGCTGCCTCTAAACAGGCAGGGTCTTCCAACAATGGACAGGTGGAACCTGCCTGTTTAGAGACGATGCGAAAGTGGAGGTAGGTGGTGTGTTTGTGCCTATAACGCCCCTGCCCCCTCCTACCCTTACCTTTCCCCTTCCCCTACGCTGGGCTTCCCTAGCGACAAATCCATCTGGGACCCCCCCCCACCTTCCTCCTCACCCAGTGCGAGGGCCAGGGGTGTGGCGTGTGGCAGCATGTGAAGTGCGTCATTCTCCCGGAGAACCCGCCTCTCACAGGAGACACCTTCTTACTGCCATTCCATTCTTGCTTCCCCTTGGCCATCCATCCCCCACCGTTTCCAGTGCGAGGGCCAGGGGTGTGGCGTGTGGCAGCATGTGAAGTGCGTCATTCTGCCAGAGAACCCGCCTCTCACAGGGGATACCTTCTGCTGCCCATCCATTTTTGCTCTCCCCCCACGGGCCCCACCCCTTACCCCACCGTTTCCAGTGCGAGGGCCAGGGGTGTGGTGTGTGGCAGCATGTGAAGTGCGTCATTCTGCCAGAGAACCCGCCTCTCACAGTGGATACCTCTGCAGCGCCCCAGCCCGACCTTCCCCTCCCCGAACACCACTACTGCGAGCTCTGCCGCATGGCCCGAGGGGACCCGTAAGTGTGATGTGACTCCCAGCTGGCATGTGGGTTTAAGAATTACCTAGAACGGTGTTCAGAGATAGTTCAGCGCCACAGCCCCACCCCACCACCCTCCCCTCCCCGAACACCACTACTGCGAGCTAGGGATGAGCAAGGGGCGAATACGAACATGTTCGTGTTCGCCCCTACACGAACACATCCGTTTGCTGAACCGAACACTGTTCGGTTCGGTGAACACTTTAAGCAAAAACACGTGTTCGCCGTTCGCCTGTGAAATTGCAGCAGCGGCCCGAACACGAACGTGTTCGGGCGAACCTCGAACACTGTTTGGCGAACACTTTAAGCAAAAAAATCAAACCTGTGTGGTTCGCCTCGAACACGTTCGAGGTGAATCGAACAGGTGTTCGCCCTTGTGCTCATGTCTACTGCGAGCTCTGCCGCATGGCCCGAGGGGACCCGTAAGTGTGATGTGACTCCCAGCTGGCATGTGGGTTTAAGAATTACCTCGAACGGTGTTCAGAGATAGTTCAGCGCCACAGCCCCACCCCACCACCCTCCCCTCCCTGAACACCACTACTGCGAGCTCTGCTGCATGGCCCGAGGAGATCCGTCAGTGTGGTGTGGATTTCAAAAATACCTCAGACTGGCGTTCACAAGAAGTTGATTGTTACAGCGTTCAGAAGTTGTTAAGTGTTAAGCGTTCAGATTTTCTTTCCTTACCTGCTCTCCTTGGTTTCGCTTTTGTTTTTTTCTCCACACCCCCCCCCTCCTCGCCGCTCTTGTGCTGTTGGTCTGCCCGATGTCAGGTTTTCTGTCCCGGTTGCCAATCCAATGCCGCCAACTGCGCTCATTCGCCTGCCCGGTGACAAGTGAGTATCTTGAAGGTGCACTGAGAGTGAGTGTGTTGAAGGTGCACTGAGAGTGAGTGTGCTACAAAGCTGCTACACTACTTGAGATAATGTGATATTCGAGGTTGAACGTTGATGAGAGATGATAAGATGAGGTTCGAGACTGCCTGAAGGGTAAACCTGTCATACGATACGGTGTGACGACTGTTGTTGCGAGAAACATTGGGAGGAGAAGCAGTGGACGATATCATATCATGGCTGGCTGGGCCCTCCTTGCCTCCCTCCCTCCCTCTCACCACGCCTCCCTTTGGGCTCCTTTTCTCCATGCCGCAGCAACCAGTTGCTGCAGTGCCTAGAGCACACCTTCACTCTCAACCCGCATCCCCGCTGTATCCACACAGTGACTACATTATCTTATCCCCTTCTTGCCTCCCCCTCTCGCTCCGCACATCCTTTCCTCCCACTTGGCTCCCTCCTGCAGCAACCAGGTGCTGCAGCGGCTAGAGCACACCTTCACTCTCATGGTCATTCAACCCTCCCTTCCCTCCCCCCCTTTCCAACCTACTCCCCGCAGCAACCAGGTGCTGCAGCGACTAGAGCACACCTTCACTCTCACGCCGTACGACCTTTCTCTCCTCAGACGCCCGCACCACTACCTGCAGGTGGGCTGGATCAGCTGAAACCACATGTAGGTATCAATGATGCTGCGGGCTCAACCAGTTGCTCGCATTTTCCATGAAAAAGAGGAGTGTGATAGAGTTCCTCACTCTCTGTGCTTGAGGGTATTTTAGCTTGCCTTCATCCACTCCCCTTGTCCTTGCTCTTTCTTTCTCGCTTTCACAGTTGTGCCCAAGCTGCTTCTCTCTGATCCCATTGTTGCCCAAACCAAATTGCTTCTCTCTCCTCCCATGCCTCATTGGGGCTTCTTGTTATGAATGAATGAATTGGATGCCACCAGGTGTGGTGTGTGTTGCTAAACGACAAGACTGCCAACCGCATGCACTGGCCCGCATACCCGCAGCTGCAAATCAACAGTGAGCTAATACATATTTGTGTGCGCGTGCGTGCGTGTGTGTGATGGTTTTTCTTTATTGTTTTCCTTGCTTTTATTGTAGTCTCACAAAAAACACACTGGGAGCAGCGAGTATCGTTCATGAGTTTAGCACATATCACATTCGTGTTGATTCCAACTTCCCCACCAAGTTCTGGACACACGTGAGCTGAGCATGCTCAAACTGTTCAACGAGTTCACAGGTTTCAGTTTCTTGTGTTGTGTAACCGCAATAATGAACTCGTTTCAACGTTTTCATGCATGCTTCTTTGCTCTCTCCCTACCCTCCCCTACCCTCCTCTCTCCTCCCCCCTCCTCACTCCCTCCCTCACTCCCCTCGCCCTCCCTCTTTCTCTCCCTCCCTTCCCTCCATTCCCCTCTCTTCCCCTCCTCACGTGCAGGTCGCAGCGTGCGGTTCATCAACCGCCCAGGGCAGCAGCTGCTGGGATCCAACGGGTGCTACGGCATCGCTCTGAGTGCCTCTCCTCTCCCCCTCCTCCATCTCCTCTCCTCTCACCACGTGCAGGTCGCAGTGTGCGGGTCACCAACCGCCCAGGGCAGCAGCTGCTGGGATCAAACGGCGTGACTTGTGAGTCGACTCAAAAGTCACTCCCACTCCTCCCCTGCCCATCTCCTCCCCTCCTCACACGCAGGTCGCAGTGTACGGGTCACCAACCGCCCAGGGCAGCAGCTGCTGGGAGCCAACGGTCGTGACGACGGCCCCTCGGTATGCCCATGCTGCCTCTGTCCTTCGCTCATGCTGTCTTGCCATAGTAATGCTGGTTCCTGCTCCCTTGCTTCCTCCATTCCACACTTTTCTCCCCCGTGCTTCCACAGATAGCAGAGGTGTGCCATCCGGGGGACAACCACGTGGCTCCGGCTGCCATTGACAACACGTGCCCATCACCCTTTTTCTCCCCTGCTCTTGCTCCTCCTCCTTCCTCTTCCCCTCCGCATCCCCCCCCCTCCGCGCCCTTCCAGATAGCAAAAGCATGCCATGCGGGGGACAACCACATGGCCCTGGCTGCCATCAACCGACAGCACACCCCTTCTCTCCCCTGCTTTCACCCCCCACTCCCGCCGCCCGTGCCCCTCCAGATAGCAGAGGCATGCCATGCAGGGGACAACCACATTGCCTTGGCTGCCATTGACAAGCGCCCCTTCTGCATCGGCGTGCGCATCATCCGCAAACGATCCTTTGACGAGGTGTGTGCGGTGATGTGCGGTGCTATTCGGTGATGTGCGGTGGTGTGTGGCGAAGTGTGGTGATGTGGGGTGGTGTGCAGTGATGTGCGGTGGTGTGTATTAAAGAGACAGACAGGGGAGTGGCCTCTCATCAACAGGTGTATCCCCTCATCCCCCTCACCCTCCATGCCACAGGTGATGGCCATGATTCCTCCTCTGGACGTGGGGGAGTCACTCGAGTCTGCTTTCGCTCGAGTGAAACGCTGCGTGGGAGGAGGAGGGGGAGGCGGTGGGGGGAAAGGAGGGTCAGGTGGTGGTGGTGGTGCAGCTGGTGGTGGGGGAGGGGGTGGGCCGAAGGCAGCAGCGTCATCTGACAGCAGTGGCAGCAGCAGCGACTTGATTGTGATGCAGGACCATGTGACGCTCAACCTGCGCTGCCCTGTGAGTGTGCTTGCTTGGTGACAGGTCAGTGCAGGTCAGTGCTGGCATGTTGCTGCGTCAGTGCTGGTCAGTGCAGGTCAGTGCTGGTCAGTGCAGGTCAGTGCTGGTCAGTTGCTGCGTAAGGTTGGCATGGCAGCAGCAGCATCAGCATCAGCATCAGCAGTAGCGATTTGATTGAGGCGCTCAACTTGCGCTGGCCTGTGAGTGTTCTTGGTTGGTAGTGAGTGAGTGTAGTGAGTGTAGTGTGATGGAGGCCATGTCACACTCAACCCGTGCTGCCCTGTCCTTGTGAGTGTTCTGTAAAGACGGATTCCAGCAGAGTCTGTGGCCAGTTGAATCCAGGGAAGGGAAGGGAAGGGACGGGACTGTGCTGTATGCACTTGGCGTGTGCTGTTGTTCCCCATTCTCTTGTCCCGACTGACCCCTCTCATACCTGCCTCCCTTGCTCTCTACTTCGGATGAGTGGCTCTCTCATCCGGGAGGCTGGTTGTTTATTTCCGCTGACTGCTTTCACACCCTCCTCTCCCTCTTCCCCAGATGAGCGGCTCTCGCATTCGAGAAGCGGGGCGGTTTAGGGAGTGTGCACACATGGGGTGCTTCGACCTGCACACGTTCATTGAGATCAACCAACGTGCTAGGAAGGTAAATGGAGGGTTTCTATGCGGTGTGTGTTGATACTGTGAATGCACCTGGGGTGTGGTATGTGTGCTATGCACATGGGGTGTTTTGACCTGCACACGCTCATTGAAATCAACCAGCGTGCTCGGAAAGTGTGTTGAGAGAAGCTCGTTTTTCTCCGCCTCTCTGCGTCAAATACCCCCATCTGCCCTGCTTTTCACGCCCTGCACCCTCCCAGTGGCAGTAGCCATGAGCACCGGACGAACACCGAACGTGTTCGCCCGAACACCATTTTGTAAAATTTGGTGTTCGATGTTCGCCCACCGTGGGCGAACATGTTAACAGTGGGCGAACAACCCGAACATGTTAACAGTGGGCGAACATGTTAACAGTGGGCGAACATGTTAACAGTGGGCGAACATGTTAACAGTGGGCGAACATGTTAACAGTGGGCGAACATGTTAACAGTGGGCGAACATGTTAACAGTGGGCGAACATGTTAACAGTGGGCGAACATGTTAACAGTGGGCGAACATGTTAACAGTGGGCGAACATGTTAACAGTGGGCGAACATGTTAACAGTGGGCGAACAACCCGAACATGTTCGGGTTCGCCCACTGACTCAAGACTATAGGCTTAAAGAATAGGAACACAAAATCGTGGGAGAATGATGGGAAACAGAAGAATCGTTGGGGTGTCTTAGGGTTTTTCTTCCTGGGCTGACGGGGGAAACAATTGATGGGGTGGGAGATGTTTGCACAATTTCGCGTTCCACACTTTCGACTTGATCTGCGTTGAAATTTATTCGCGACGGCGATTTCGCAATTTCGCCCAACCAGCCCACCCCACCCAAAACCCACAGTACCGCAATTTACCTCCCAAACCCAACCAGGCCTCCAACACAAATCTGACGGAAGCTAACACACACTCACTTCACACGCTAATCTACTCCAATACGACACTACTAAACCTAATCCGCGCTAGATCCGACTAGGAACATATACAAATGTCGCGCTGGAATTTTCCCGAACATCTGATGTTCGGGAGAACGGGATTTATGCCCGAACATGTTCGATGTTCGGGCATTTCACATGTGCGCGCCGCGAACGCCCGAACATGTTCGGGCCGAACCTGAACATGTTCGGGCGAATGTTTGAACAAAAAAAAAAAAAGTTTGGTTCGCCCCCGAACATGTTCGGGCGAACCGTCCCGCGTTCGCCACTTTGCTCATCCCTAAGTGGCAGTGCCCTGTGTTGTAATTTCATATTTTATACAACATTCATAGGCTAGAATTAGATTTGTTGCACATTTATAAATTGGGGGGTTGTTTAGTGTACCCTCCAACCACATTTTGTCGTTGGTTGGGATTGGTCATTAACTCAACCAATCCCAACCAACACACATTTGTGGTTGCTTGGGCCACAAGCAAGCTCACCCATTGGTCAACATATTGGCCAATAGGGTAAGCTTCCCTTTTATCTCTCTCTTGCTCATTGTTTGTTCTAAAGGGCCTCTTGGCTCATTATTCAATTCATCAATTCTCTCCTTCAACATGGTATCATGAGCTAATGGCTCACGCCTTCATCCCTCGGTCCTTAGGCCACCCTCTCCTCCCCGCCCTCAGATCTAGCCTTCTAGAACAGAGCTGCCATCTCTTCGTGCGCCCTTTAGGCGCTGTCCTCCCTCCCCGCGCGCCCCGTAAGGCGCAGCCCTCCAAGGCACTGCTCCACGCACGTCCAGATCTGCAACTCCAGCACCCAGATCTGACCTCCCAGCGCCCATATCTGCCCTCCCAGCGCCCAGATCTGATCTCCCAGCGCTCAGGTCTGCCCTCCCAGCGCCCAGATCTGACCTCCCAGCGCCCAGATCTGCCCTCCCAGCGGCCAGATCTGCCCTCCCAGCGCCCAGATCCGCTCTCCTCGCGCTCAGATCTGCAACTCCAGCGCCCAGATCTACTCCTCCCGCGCCCAGATCTACTCCTCCTGCACCCAGATCTGCACATTTCGTTACCAGATCTGCATTCCGCGCGACCAGATCTGCATTCTGCGCATCCAAATCTGCGCTCTGTGCGCCCAGATCTGCATACCTCGCGACCAGATCTGCACTTTCCGCGCCCAGATCCACTCCTCCTGCGCTCGGATCTGCCACAGGGCTGCCCTCCTCGTCCCTACCCACAGCAGCATCATCAGCGGCATCTGCAGCGACGCCAACAGCAGCACCCTTCCCCCTGCCTCCCCCATAACATCGCTCCCCCCTTCTCCTCCTCCACCTTCCCCCACCTTCCGCTCCTCCCTTCCTCCTCCCATCCTACCAGCAGCAGGACCAGCAGCGGCACCAGCAGCAGGACCAGCAGCGGCACCAGCAGCAGGATCAGCAGCGCCAGCAATTGCGTTACGAGGACGAGAAGCGCATTTATGACGACGCCGCTGCCCGCTACAGCAAGTACCAGGAGGACCTTTACACCTACACCGCAGACCTTGCCGACTACACCACGAAAATCACTGCCTTGCGAGTTGCCGATCGGCGCGCGCTTGCCATTCTTCTTGCCACCGTCCCCTCCTCCCTCAAACGCGAGCTCTCACCTACCTCCTCCTCCCACCTGTGGCGACTCCTCGTCGACCTTTTCGATCGGCAAGACGTTGCCACCCTCTACGCCCTCATCAAAGAATTTGGCACTCTCTCCATGGACTCCACTTCTGGCGCCGTTGCCTTCACTCGCCGTGTCCTAGACCTTGCTCGGCGCCTTGCGGCACTCGATGTGGTGTACCCGGACACTGTCATCTGCTGCCACCTCCTCGACGGCCTCACACCTGCCTTCGACGCTCACAAGCTTGCCTACATGCAGCTTCTCTCCAAGCACCATACCCCTGCTGAAGTCGCTCAGTGGATTATCACCGCCGAAGCCGAGATCCTTCGCCACTCTACCTCCACAATCGCAGTAGCTCAGTCGCGCAGCAGCAGGGGTGGGCGTGGTGGTGGGCGTGGGGGTGGACGAGGAGGATCACCGGGTCGCGGTGGCAGTGGTAGCGGTGGTGCGGGTTGCGATGCGGCAGCTGCCTTTCCTCCCTGCCAATACTTGCCTCGCTACGGTCCCACTCAGGGACAGCGCTGCGGCCAAACCACTCATGCCACAGAAACATGCTTCAAGGCACTCAGTGATGAGTGGTTTGCTCGTGGCAACACTGGCACCCCTCCTCGTTGGTCTGCCCTCAACCCACACCCCACTCCCCTTGAAGTCCGTTCCTCTCCCCTCTATGAGCCTTCCTCCTCCACCCAGGCCCACCAGGCCCTTGCCCCTCCCCAGCAGCAGCAGCAGCAGCAGCAGCAGCTGCAGCAGCAGCAGCTTGGGAGTCAGCAGCAAGGGTTACAGCAGTATGGGCAGCAGCTTCTCCTTTCTCAACTCCAGCAGCAGCTCCAACATCTCCAGCAGCAGCTCGACCTACAGCCGCAGCTGCCCCTCCTCCCTCCTCCTCCCGTTTCCCAGCAGCAGCCCTTTCCTACCTGGACTGTCGGGAGTGCTGCCTCCGCAGCCCATCTCTCGGGTGCATCTCCAGCGCCGTCTGCAGGTGGCAGTGTGATCGCTTTCCTCTCTTCTGGTTTTGTCGGTTTGCTAGGTCAACCTGAATCTGTTGCATCTCCCATGTACCCTTCCTCAGGTATTGAAACTTTGTTCCAATACTCTGCCTCACCCTCCTCCACCCTTGACTTCGTCCTGGACAGTGGAGCCACTGACACTGTCCTTCGTGATGCTGGTACACTCCGCCCTCTCCCCACACCCACCTCCCTCCTCGGTGCTGATAGCAGTTTTTCTATCCCCTGTCACAACACTTCCACCCTTCCCTGTCCTCTCTTTCCCTCAGGTACTGTCACCGGTCTCCACATTCCCTCCCTACGCACTAACCTCCTCTCCCAAAGGTCCCTCCAACAAGCCAATATCACCACTGTCTTCACAGGTGGTGCTAACTACTGTGCCCTTTACAATACTGCTACAGGTCGCCTTCTCTCTCGTATTCCCTTCTGTCCTCGTTCCCGCCTGTACACCCTTCGGCTTCCCCGCCCCCCCACTTGCCAAGTCGCCTCTCCCTCTCTCCTCCCCCCCCCTCCTCTCCCTCCCACTAACCCACCCCTCCCTCCCCGCCCCCCTGACTCTGACTGTTCTTGTCGCTCCCTCTCCCACCCTACCATCCTCCTCCATCACAGGCTAGGTCACCCTAACTTCGCTACTCTGCGCTCCTCTGTCTCCTCCGGTCTCCTCCATGGTCTCCCCTCCTCTCTCCCTCCCCTCCCCAAATCCCCTCCCCCCCCCTGCACTGTCTGCGTTCATAGCAAGCTCAAGCAGCAGCCGCACCGGAGCTCCCCCTCCGCTGTTGCACAGCCACTTTATCTTGTTCACATGGACCTCTAGGGCCCTAATCCCTCTCCCACTCGCCAGGGTCATCGCTGCCTTCTCGTGCTCGTTGATGATCACAGTCGGTACTCGTCCGTCTCTCTCCTTCGAACGAAGGCGGACGCCCCGGCTGCGATCATCGCCTGGCTCGAGGGGGCAAACACCCATTTTGGGCGCCCTGTTCGCCGCCTTCACTCTGATGGTGGTGGTGAGCTCCTTAACAACCAAGTCTCCTCCTATTGTCAGTCTCGTGGCATCCTTTAGACTTACACCCTCCCTCACTCCCCACAGCAAAACGGTGTGGCTGAGAGTCGTGTTCGAGAGATCACCAAAACAGCCCGGTGTCTTCTTGTCCACGCCTCCTGCCCCCCTTCTCTGTGGGGCTACGCCCTCCTTCATGCCGCCCTCCTTACTAACCTTTACCCTCACCCCCTTCTCCCTTCCACCACCCCCACTGAGCTGTGGACAAAGGACAAGCCTGATGTCTCATCTCTTCGTGTCTGGGGCTCAAAGGCATATGTCCTTATTCATCCCTCTGACCGCTCCCGCTCCATGGAAAAGCTTGCCCCTCGCACCTTTCCTTACATCTTCCTTGGTCATAACCCTACCTCACCTGACTACCTTTTCCTCCATCCCTCCTCAGGTCGTCTAGTCCGTAGTAGGGATGTGGTCTTTGATGAGTCCACTCCCTACTACTCCTCTCCCCCATCCACTGACCCACTCCCCCCTCTCACCCGTCCCCTTGTCTGGTCTGACACCATCCCTCCCCCATTACTCCCTCCTCCCCCCATCCTCCCGCCTCCCCCCCCTCCGTCGTCCCCGTCCCACGGTGCCCATCCCTCGTCTGGTGATATCTTTGACCCGGAACCTCTGTCCTCTCCGGTCTCCCCCACCCATTCCTCTCCCAGTGCCCATCCCCCCCTCCTCTCCCCTCCCTCGCCATCGACCCGTCCTTCCCCTCCTCCCCGCACCGTACTTACCCGGTACCCCCATACCAGGTCACGTGACGGTATCCTTGGTGCACCGCCCCCTGTTACCCTCTCTTCCTCTACCCTCTCCTTCACCACTTCTTCCAGGCTGTCTTGCATCAACCTCCTCCTGCAGCAGCCCCCTCTGCCTCCTCTCCCTCATCAGCAGCAGCGTCCGCAACGGCACCAGCAGCTGCACCAGCAGCAGGACCAGCAGCTGCACCAGCAGCAGGACCAGCAGCAGGACAGCAGCGGCACCAGCAGCAGGACCAGCAGCAGGACCAGCAGCGGCACCAGCAACGGCACCAGCAGCGGCACCAGCAGCGGCACCAGCAGCGGCACCAACAGCATGACCAGCAGCGGCACCAGCAACAGCACCAGCAGCGGCACCAGCAGCGGCACCAGCAGTGGCACCAGCAGCGGCACTGGCATCGGCACCAGCAGTGGCACCAGCAGCAGCACCAGCAGCCATCCCCGCCTTCCACACCTCCCTCTCTGAGGACTCCCATGAGGAGTTCCTTGACCTCCACCTCTGTAACCCCTCGCTTCTACCCATCACATTCGACCTCTCCGGCACACCCGTCTTCGCCTTCTCCTCTGCTCCCTCCATTTTCATCCCTACCACGTATGCGGAGGCAATGGCTTGCCCCGACGCCCCTCTCTGGCTTGCCACCATCATCAAGGAGCTAGAGGCCTTTATCGCCAACTCCTCCTTCGTTGATGTGCCTCGCCCTCCCGCCTCTACGAACGTGGTGAAGGGGAAGTGGGTGTTTCGCGTCAAGCAGCTGCCAGGGGAGCCGCCCGTCTACAAGGCTCGTTACAGTGCCAAGGGCTTGACGCAGCGGTATGCTGTTGACTTCTTCGATACCTTCTCCCCTACCGCCAAACCTGCTATCGTTCGAGCCGTGCTCGACCTCGCCGCTCGCCTAAATATGGAGATCCACTCGATGGGACGTTTCTAACGCCTTTCTGCAAGGCGTCCTCCGCGAGCTCATCTACATGGAGCTTTCACCTTCCCTTCCCAGCTAACTCTGTCTGGCAGCTGCGTCGACCTGTGTATGGGCTCCGACAGGCCCCTAGGGAGTGGCATGCTAAGCTTGCCGCCACCCTTGCTGAACTTGGGTTTCGCACCTCCCGCTCCGACGCAAGCCTCTTCCTCCGCGCCTCCCCCTCCCCCTTCTACATCGTTGTGTATGTCGATGACATGATTCTGCTCACCGCCGACCTTGCTGAGTTGGAGCGTGTTAAGGCTGAGTTGGGTAGCCGTCTCAAGTGCAAGGACTTGGGAGAGCTGCAGCATTACCTAGGCATGACCATCACCCGCGATCGCTCCGCCCGCACCATCTCTCTCTCCCAGGGTCATTACTTGCAGCAGGTCTTGGAGCGGTTTGACATGGCCCGGGGAGGTGCCCAACATACACCTCTTTCTGTCGGGCACCACCTCTCTCCACCCACCTCCCCCTCAACCTCCTCCCATCCTTATCCCGAGCTCGTCGGCTCCCTCATGTACGCCATGGTCTCCACTCGCCCTGACCTTGCCTACCCCATCAGCGTCCTCACTCGTTTTGTTGGCGCAGGCAAACATACGGAAGAGCACTGACAGGCCGCCGGTACCTTCGTGGCACCAAGGACTATGTCCTTACCCTTGGCGGCCCCTCCCCACCTCTCCTCATCAGCGGCTCCTCCTGGGCTGATTCTCGGCCGGATCGTCGCTCCTCCCAGGGCTATGGCTTCTCTCTCGGCAGCGGCCTTATCAGCTGGCGCTCCACCCGCTCCTCGGCTATCGCCCTCTCCTCCTGCGAGGCGGAGTTGTATGCCGCCACCATAGCTGCCCTTGGCCTCACTCCTCCTAAGACGCCTCCCGCCTCTTGATTCTAGCATTCTAGCCTTATGCATGTTGGGGGTAATGTTGTAATTTCATATTTTATACAACATACATAGGCTAGAATTAGATGTGTAGCACATTTATAAATTAGGGGGTTGTTTAGTGTACCCTCCAACCACATTTTGTGGTTGGTTGGGATTGGTCATTAACTCAACCAACCCCAACCAACACATATTTGTGGTTGCTTGGGCCACAAGCAAGCTCACCCATTGGTCAACATATTGGCCAATAGGGTAAGCTTCCCTTTTATCTCTCTCTTGCTCATTGTTTGTACTAAAAGGCATTTTGACTCATTATTCAATTCATCAATTATCTCTTTCAACACTCTGTGTGCATGAAGCTCTATGCGCGCGACTCGCTCATCAACACCCCTTTGATGCTCTCCTGCAACTCACTCTGCTCCTCCCGTCCCCTCTTCCCTCCTCTGCTCGTCGCACATCTGTCACAGGATCGAATTCTCAATCGAAACTTGTCACTAAAACTGAATACAAGGCGTTTAATACTCGTAACTTACAAGGATAAAATAGATAAAACGAACATTCGGGAACATACCCTTCCCGATACTACAATGACAAGTGCTCACAAGAACGCAAGGCTATTGGCACTTGGGATTACGCCCAGATTACACTGTATACACCAGTGTCGGCGCTGTCGGTGCCGTATAATAAGAATGTCGGTGGGAAAAATAGGAAATAAGTGAAATAAAGAGAAGGCTCTAGAAAATAGAATAGTAGGCCGATTGAGATGAAATAAAGACCAAAATAAAGAGGAGAAAAGGGAGAATAAGATAAATGAAAAATATAATAATGAGAAAATATTATAACGAGGACGTCCTCTCACACCCTCAGTGGCAGTGCCCTGTGTGCATGAAGCTCTACGCGCTTGACTCACTCATCATCGATCCGTTCGAATCTCAACCATAACACACTCCACTCCTCCCCTTTTCTTTGCCCCATTCCCCCTTGCGCCCTTCGCCCTCTCCTCTCCCCCCCTCCCACCTCCCCCAATGGCAGTGCCCCGTGTGCATGAAGCTCTACGCGCTTGACTCGCTCATCAGCGACCCCATCGACCCCATCAACCTCATCAACCCTCAATCATAGCTCACTCCACTCCTCCCCTCGGCCCTGCGCCCTTTGTCCCCCCCCCTTCCCTCCTCTGCCCCCCCCAGTGGCAGTGCCCCGTGTGCATGAAGCTCTATGCACTCGACTCGCTCATCATCGACCCTTTCTTCCACCGAGTTTGCGAGCAGGTGTGTTCCCTTCAAGAAAACACCAATACACCACGTACATCACTTGCTGCCACACACATCAGCCACGCACATCAGTTGCTGCCACGCACATCACTTGCTGCCACGCACATCACTTGCTGCCACGCACATTACTTGCTGCCACGCACATCACTTGCTGCCACGTACATCACTTGCTGCCCTGCCACGTGCCAGAGAAGATTGGACGGCTGAAGAAGCTCGAGTGGTTGGTGATCTGTGATTGTCCAAAGGTATCAAAGTTTCCATAGTCGTTTCCTAATTTGCCCAGCCTACGGCGTTGCTCGCTTGGTAACTGCTTCGATTCGTCAACTCTTCTGTATAACTTTTCTCCCTACAATATCTTAGTCTTAGTAATCTGCGGAATCTTCGCACCCTCTCTGCTTCGTTCCAAGACTTGTCTCGACTAGAGTGGCTGGAAGTGAGAAATCTCACAATACCTCACGGGGAACGGGAGGGGAAGGGGAGGGGAGGAGGGGGGGGACAGGGGAGGGGGGAAGGAAGGGGAGGGGGAGGGACGGAGGGGGAAGTAAGGTGGGAGTGGTGATGTGGTGGATAGAGGGGCGAGGGGTGCGGTATGTGTACATGTTTGTGTGTGGGCAGAGGGGAATGCGACAGATGAAGCGCCCAGTGGCGGTATGAAAGAGGTCGCAGTGAAGTGCATTACCAGGGAAGATGGCGGTGACTCCTAACCTTTGCAGGTCACGAAGTGCTACCAGATTGTTGCGTAGTGAGGGGACGTGTAGACTTGTGACTCTGCCTGAGGGGAAGATGGGACAGAGGAGGGTGGAGGTGTGTCGACCTGTGATGGTGAAGCTGGAGTCGGCTCCATAGATAGTGGAGGGAGTGGGGAGGGGTACCAGTGTGCCTGCATCGCGAAGGACAATGTGCGTTGCTCCACTGTCAAGGATAAACTCAAGGCATGCAGAGGAGGAGGAAAAAGCGGAGTACTGGAAGAGAGACTCATTAATAGCATGGGCATACAGAGAATCAGCAGGAGCAGTGCTAACATGTCCTATGAATCCAGCAGAGGGGAACGGAGTAAAGCTAGGAGGGTTGGAGGAGGAGGAGGAGGAGGAGGGGCTCCACGGCCACCACCGCGACCACCACCACGTCCTCCGCCTCGGCCACCACCACGTCCACCACCACCACTACCGGCGCCGCCTGGGCCGCCACCTCCTCCGCTGTTGTGGTTGCCTGTGGTAGTTTTGCGGGTCTGGACAGCATTGACTAGACATGAGTAATTTTCCGAACCCCAAACACGTTCGGGTCGAACATGTTTGTTTCAAACATGTTTGACCCGTTTTTTTTGGGAATAAGGTTCGCCCGAACATGTTCAAGGTTCGACCCGAACATGTTCGGTGTTCGAAAAGTTGTAAGGGGAAATTTCCGAGCATCAAACATGTTAAGAAAGGTTCCCCGCTTTTCCGAACATTAGATGTTCGGAAAAAACCAGCGCGACAGGTTGGAAGTATTTCTTACCGAAAGCTTAGATCGAGGTAATTTCGACCTCGATCTACCCTTTTAGGTTAAGTACAGAGGAGTAAGGATTAGTAGGCTCATTTGATGCCCAATTCAGCCCAACTTAACGGTTCCTGATGGTAACTTCGGTTAAATATTCGTTAGTTAGTCGCTTTTTTAAGTAACTTAGGGTTTCACTGGATGATCGGTAAATGACTCCAGTCCTAAAAAAACAGAAACCTTTGGGTGTTTAAGTCCTACACTATCGTTCGTAGAAGTGCGATTTTAAGCCTTCATGGCGAAGGATTGGGTGGGAGGTGCAAGGGCGGATGGGGTGGATGGGGGAGGCGATGAGGATGGAGAAGGCCCCTCGGGTTTGGGCGCAGCTGGGCCCAGCCCTCTCGTGGTTGAGGGTCACGGAGTGGCATTCCGCGACTTGGCCACATCGGCACACACGTTCCGCAACGGCCAGAATCTGCCAAGTCCTCATTTTCGAACATCAAACATGTTCGAAATTGACTGAACATGTAGATGTTTGGCGAACCTAAACATGTTTGCCCACCTAAACCAAACACCGAACATCGAAAAGGTGAAAATAATGTTAGGCCGAACCGAACATGTTCGGTTCGGCCAATTTAAATGTTCGGGGACGTTCGGACGAACACGTTTGGTGTTAGCCCGTTGCTCATGCCTAGCATTGACGGTGGCAGAGTCACGTTGAATGTCTTCTTCGCTGCCAAGAAGCCAATTGATGGTGTCAGCCATAGGAGGAGGATGACGGTAGCGGGAGGTGAAGGTGATACGATAGGTGTCATATGTGGGAGGGAGGCAGACGAGGATGCGTGCAGTGAGAAGGGGCTCAGAGATGACAATGCCCCAATCATTGAGGTGTTGCGCAGTGTCAATGAGGCGACGGGAGTAAGCAGTGGCAGTGGAGGGGGAGTCAAGGGTGATGTCTTGGAATTTGCGAAAGAGGGCGAGGAGGGAGCGAAGATCCTGACGATCGTACTGAGTACATCAGGTTTTCCAGAGTCCAGAGGAGGAGGTGGGATGAAGGTCGCGTTTGAGGTGAGAGGGGATGTAGGAGAAGTTGATGGCGAGTGCACAACGATCAAAAATACGCCATGCTGCAACAACTTTGTGGAGCTTGCGAAGCTCCTCAGCATAGTCTTTCTCATCTTGAGTGTAGGAGAGGATGGGTGCAGTAGCATCAACGTGTGTCTGTTCCGCAACACGGTGCGCCTCACGCTGGAGGGTGTAGGTGTCGCGAAGCTTGTTGTAGGTGTTCAAGTTGGCCCCCCATCGATCCGGGTTGTCATCATGAACTGGGGCACGCGGGGGGTCAGGAAGAGGCTCGGGTGGAGGAGGGGCGTCAGGGGGAGGAGGTTCGTCAGGAGGAGGAGGGAGGAGAACGGGTGGGAGGCTATTAGGGTGCTCGAGGACTACATCAACGAGACAATAGTCTTGAATGATGACGGAGCCAAGGTGTGTGTGAAGCGCGTCTTCAAACGACGGCCGTAGTGTCATGGGGAAGCTCGAGGTTGTCAATAGCTCCAAGCTCAATGGGGGTAGAGTCGTCCGCCATGAGAAAGAGGAAGGGGGAAAGGGGTGACGACACCGGCTGGAGGGCGGGTGCGGTAAACGGGTTGACGACACCACCTGGAGGGGTGGTGCGATCAAAGGGCTGCGCCTAGTCAAGCTGCTCGCAGTTGCGCCTGGTCGCGTCGCCTGCGGCTGCGCCTGGTCGAGTCGCCCGCGGCGGTCGCCCCCGCTGGTCGCGTCCGCGACGGTCGCCCCCGCCGGTTGCGTCCGCGGCAAGCGCCCCCGCCGGTCGCGTCCGCGGCGGTCGCCTCTGCTGGTCGCGTCCGCGGCATTCGCCCTCGATGCTCGCGTCCGCGGTGGTCGTCCCCTTGGTCGCGTCCGCGGGGGTCTGCCCTGCTAGTCGCGTCCGCGGGGGTCGGCACCGCTGGTCGCGTCCGCGGGGATCGCCCAGCTGGTCGCGTCCGCAGTGATCGCCCCGCTGGTCGTGTCCGCGGCGGTCGCCCCGCTGGTCGCGTCCGCGGTGGTCGTCCCGTTGGTCGCGTCCGCGGTGGTCGTCCCGCTGGTCCCGCCCGCGGTGGTCGTCCCGCTGGTCGCATCTACGGCGATCGCCCCCTTGGTCGCGTCCGCGGTGGTCGTCCCGCTGGTCGAGTCCGCGGTGGTCGTCCCGCTGGTCGCATCCGCGGTGGTCGTCCCGCTTGTCGCGTCCGCGGCGATCGCCCCCTTGGTCGCGTCCGCGGTGGTCGTCCCCTTGGTCGTCCGCAATGGTCGCCCCGCTGGTCGCGTCCGCGGTGGTTGTCCCGCTGGTCCCGCCCGCGGTGGTCGGCCCGCTGGTCGCGTCCGCGGTGGTCGTCCCGCTGGTCGCGTCCGCGGCAATCGCCCCCTTGGTCGCGTCCGCGGTGGTCGTCCCGCTGGTCGAGTCCGTGGCGATCGCCCCCTTGGTCGCGTGCGCGGTGTTCGTCATCTTGGTCGCGTCCGCGGTGGTCGTCCTGCTGATCGCGTTCGCGGCGATCGTCCCCGCTGGTCACGTCCGCGGTGGTCAGCCCCGCCGGTCGCGTCCGCGACGGTCGCCCTGCTAGTCGCGTCTGCGGGGCTCGCTCAGCTGGTCGTGTCCGCAGAGATCGCCTCACTGGTCGCGTTCGTGGTGGTCGCCTCACTGGTCATGTCCGCGGCAATCGCCCCGCTGGTCGTGTCTGCGGCGGTCGCCCCGCTGGTTACGTCCGCGGTGGTCGCCCCGCTGGTCGTGTCCGCGGGGATCGCCCCGCTGGTCGCGTCCGCGGTCTGCCATGACGAGGATGACCATGTGGCTAATCCGAAATGGTTCGTAGTATTTGGGTGTAATATTGGGGTCTCGGGGAGGCGGAGGTTGTGAGTGTCGAGAAAGACCAGGTCGTCGGACTGGTGTGTGATGGGGCGGCGGTGGCGATCACCGTTGCGTGGTCTGCTCGGGTCCGGGTTGCTGCTGCTCGGGTCCAGGCTGCTCGTAATATCTCTACGAATTGTTGTGCGCGGGGGACGGGGTTGTCAAGTTTGGCGTTATTGGTTCTGTTGGGTGCTGTCCGTAGGTGAGGTAGAACGGCGACTTTTGGGTAGTAGGCGAATTCGATTAGTGGCAGCTAATGTTCGTCCCGCTGGTCGTGTCCGCGGCGATCGCCCCCTTGGTCGCGTCCGCGGCGATCGCCCCCTTGGTCGCGTCCGCGGTGGTCGTCCCGCTGATCGCGTACGCGGTGGTCGTTCCGTTGATCGCGTCCGCAGTGGTCGTCCCGCTGATCGCGTCCGTGGTGGTCGCCCCCGCTGGTCGCGTCCGCGGCGGTCGTCCCCGCTGGTTGCGTCCGCGGTTATCGCCTGTGTTCGTCGCGGAATTGGCGTCCGCCCGCGCTAGGGACGGCGAAATGGGGCGCTAGGGGAGGGGGGAGGGGCGCTGTAATTTAGCGCTAAGGGTTTAGGGCCGTGATGGCGTGAGAGCACACTAGGTGCGAGAGGCGACGTAGAGTCGCACGAGGGAGGGGGGCGTGATACGGCACGCGGGACAAGAGGTCCTTAGGATTGGAGATAGGCGTAAGCCGTTGTGGTTCTGAATACCATGTGAGAAATCTAGAAGATGAACCGATAATAGATTAGGAAAGAACGTGGGTTTACATAGGTGTGTTAGGATGGGGGTTTGGTTGGAACCTAGCCAACATTATTGGGCCCCACCAATAAGTTGGGTTGAAGAGTTATTGAGAGGATCAATAATGTTGACCAAAGTGGTTCAACATTATTGGGGGGCCAATAATTCCCAACTCAACCCCAAATAATTCGGCCAAGTGTTGAGTTCCAACCCCCAACTAGGGTTATCCCTAGTTCTACACCCAAACTACATTTGGGTGTCTATCTCTAGCCGAAGTTTATTGGATAGATGCAGGTTACAATGAGGATGGTAATTTAACACCTTCTTCCACCGTGTCTGCCAAAAAGTGCGTCCGTTCTCCCTCTTCCCGCCCCCAACCCCACCCCCCCCCCTCCCCCCCCCGCCCGCTCCCCTCCTCACTCGCCTCCTCTCAATGGGCATGTTTGTAAGGCCACGAGGTGTACAAACATGTCCTCGCCTCCCCCCAAGAAACGATGCACTTACTATCATCCCCTTCCGATACCCCATTCCCCTCTCCCACCCTTCCCCTTCCCCTCCAGGTGGCCCCAGACGACAGTGACGCCACTGACATTCAAATTCTGAGTTGACTCAAAAGTCATTCAACTCAGGCGGACGCCACATTGTTGTTAAGTGCTACCCCGCCTACTCTGCCCCTCCCCCTGCCCCCCCTTTCCCCTTCCACTCCGCCCCCGCTCCCCCCCACATGGCCCAGTACGACAGTGACGTCACTGGCATTTAACTCAGGGCGGATGGCACATGCTGCCTCAAAGGGCTCTCGCCCGCCTCCCATCCGACTCCCCCCCTCTACGCACCTCCTTCTCCCCTCCTTCTCCCGCCCAGATGGCTCAGTATGACAGTGACGTCACTGACATTCAACTGAGGGGAGATGGCACGTGGCGACCCAAGCTAGAATCTCTTCACACCTCCTCCAAAGCAGGCAAGTCAGCCAAGTCAACCAAGTCAATAATGCCTTTTGAGTCGACTCAAAAGTCACGTTACCCAAGCTAGAATCTCTTCACCCCGCATCCAAAGCAGGCAAGTCAGCCAAGTCAAGAAAGTCAACGAATGCTTTCTCTGCCACCGCTACAGCAGTTGTCGTCGTTGTTGTTGTTGTTGTTGTTTGTTTGTTTGTTTTTTTTTTTTTTTTTTTTTTTTTTTTTTTTTTTTTTTGGATTCTCAGAGTGCATCTCGTCTCATATGGACTCCCATTTCTTCGTTTTACCAAAGCAGGCAAGTCAGCCAAGCCAACGCCTGCTGCCGCTGCCGCCGCTGCAGCTGCTCTCATCTGGCGAGACGTGCGCTTGCCTGAAGGGCAGGTGAAGAGGGAGATGGGCGTGGGGGCTGAGGTAGGAGTGGGAGTGGGAGTGAACGGGAATGGGATGGTGGAGGGGCAAGGGGATACGGCAGATGATGTGACGAGTGGGACACGGTCGGGTGCGGCGTGGGATTTGCTGTCTGGCGAGTCAAGGGCGAAGAGGGGAAGGTGGATGGGGAAGTATGAGGCGGGAGGGAGTGAGGTGGATTGCAGGCAGGCTTTGCAGCAGCAGCAGCAGCAGTCGGGGCAGTTTCAGCAGCAGCAGCAGGGCCAGCAGCAGCAGTATTATCAGCAGCAGCAGTTGCCGTTCCAGCAGCAGCCTGTGGTGATTGAGTTGCTAGGTGATGGCACTGATGGGGGTGCTGGTGCTGCTGGTGCTGCTGGTACATTTGCTGCTCCCATTGGTGTGCACACTCCCAAGCGGCAGCACACTAGGTGGCCAATAGGAAGAGGAGGCATAGAAACAGGAGGAGACACAGGCAGAGCAGGAGGAGGAGGCGCGGGTAGCGGGCCTAGCTTTGCAGGAGAAGACGTTGGTTTGTCTCTTGGGTTTGGAGGAAACACAACAAGAGGGGGTATAGGAGAGCAACGGGGATTCAGCGCCCCCGGCAATGGAGACTTAGCAGCAGCAGTGCTAACGGGATGGCCTGGGGCGTCAGGAGCAGTGCAAGCAGGCATGGCCGCAGCAGCCGTAGCAGGGAGGAACGGGGCAGCAGTGGATGCAGGGGGGACGTCCAGTGTGGGCGCAGCACATACAGCGGAGTCAGGGCATGAAGACAGGTCATCTCTCGGCAATCGAAACAGTGGGCGGGGGAGAGAGGCGAGCCAGGGGAGAGGGGGAGGAGCGGGGGGGAGAGGAGTGGGGGGGAGTGGGGGTGTGGGGGCGGGGGCAGGAGTGCGTGGAGGGAGTGGGGCGAACTGGTTCGGGGATCGGGGAGGGGAGGATAATCCGATCGCTTTGAGTGATAGTGAGGGGGAGGAGGACGTTCCAGCAACAAATACTGCTGTGGGAAGGGCAGTACCGAGTAGCTCTGGTCAACCCCAGCTGCAAAAGGGGCAGCAGGGACAGCAGGGACAGGGGCAGCAGCAGCAGCCGGAGCAGCGAGCAGACGTGAACACATTGCTGGACGTCTGGAGGGATGACCGGAGGGCTGAGCCAGCGAGCACATTTGACCGCTCCTATGGTGCAGTTGAGAGAGCAGACACGTATGGCGCTGCTGGCGCTGATGCCGGTGGTGATGCAAGTGGGAGTGCGAGAGGCAACACCCCCACTCTTGACTTCATCACGGATTTTCTCCTGGAGGGAGATGGTGCCGGGGCAGGAGGAGGAGCAGGAGGCGTGGTGAGGGGAGGAGGAGGAGGAGGAGGAGGAGGAGGAGGAGGAGGAGGAGGAGGAGGAGGAGGAGGAGGAGGAGGAGGAGGAGGAGGAGGAGGAGGAGGAGGAGGAGGAGGAGGAGGAGGAGGAGGAGGAGGAGGAGGAGGAGGAGGAGGAGGAGGAGGAGGAGGAGGAGGAGGAGGAGGAGGAGGAGGAGGAGGAGGAGGAGGAGGAGGAGCGGAGGAGAGAGGACGGGGGTTCGGGAGTGAAGCAGCAGCAGTGGCAGCACGGGGAGGGAGAGATGGTGGGAGAGGGGAGGGAGGGAGAGGCAGGGAGGAGAGTGGGGCGTTTCAGCTGAACCTGGGTCTGGCGTCAGAAGGGGTGGGGGAGGGGCGCACTGGGGGGGCATCTGCAGTGCAAGCAGGAATGGCAACGGGAGGAAGAGGAGGAGCGGGAGGGGTGAGTGGCGACTTTGCATCGCCTCCCCCGCCGGACGTGCAATGGGTTACTCCCTCCATTTCTGCTGCTGCTACTGCTCATCTGGCCAGGGGAAGAGCTGCAACAGGGGCAGCAGCAGGAGCAGGAGTAGCAGCAGCAGCAGGAGCAGCAGGGTCGAACAGATCCCAACACAAGCATCACTCCCATTCTCGGCCATCTGCCCATCCGCCTGCCCCCCTTAGAGCAGCCTCCTTACAGTCCCCTCCCTCCAGTGCGCAAACACCATCTCGGCTGCAATCCCCTTCAGGCCTGCAGTCTCCCTCGGCTGTTCAGTCGTCCTCACAGCTTCAGTCCCCCACTGGCTTCCGCTCTCCCCCTCTCACAAGCCAGCAGCAGCACCAGCCGCAGCAACAGCAGCAGCAAGAGCAGCAACCGCAGCAGCAAGAGCAGCAACCGCAGCCGCAGCAGCAACAACAGGGAGCATCAAATCCGTTCGCTCGTTTCTACACAAGTGCATCCCAGCCGACCGTCTCTGATCCTAGAGGCATATTAGGGAGCTACAGTGGGTATCAGGAGCAGCAACAGCAGCAGCCACAGCAGTATGCCCATGTGGATTACCAGCAGCAAGTGCCCCCTCAACCAGACTACCACCAACAACAAACCTACGCCTACGGGAATGATTACTATAACCAACCATACCAGGCGCATCAGAATCAGTACAGCACGCTTCATGATTATCAGGCGCCAGCTCAGCTGTACAACTACGGGCAGGAACAGGAAGGAATGCCGCCAGTGCCACCCATCCCGTTTGTTACACCTGATGCTACTGTAGCACAGCCTGGCGGGATGAACCAGTGGGAGTCGTACAGTCAACCACATTCATGAGCATGGCCAGACGTTACTCAGTTATACTGTGGTAATGCAACACATAACTGTACTACACTTCAATCTAATTTCTGGGTAGTCAGTTACAAGTTCCTTACTTCCAGCTATACCAGTATTTGATCACCTTGGCTTTTACATGCATGCATCATATAGCAGCGTTGAATTTAGCTTTCGTGAATGCAAATTAGTCATGCTAAGCCTTGTGCAACTAGAAAAAGCCAATGGTTTTTTGGCTGGTGGGGGTAAGTTAGGTGTCTAATGTACAACGCTTTGCCTACCACCTGCTGAACATGGCTAATATGTATAGCACCTGAAGCACGTTAGGAACGCAAATAAATGGTTCAGTAATCATCGTCATCGCTGCCATCGTCGCCGCCTCTTCTCACGGTAGCGGCTGTCTGCTTGGATTGACGATGGCCAGACAGCTTCTCCTCGGCAAGAGCTCCCCCAAGCACAAGTCTAGTCTCCAGAATTTCTGTGGGAAAATCTTCAGTTCCGCCAAGCTCGTCAAATCCAACCTGCGTAGCAGGAGAATAATCCATTATCACCTGATACAACCGATTCTTTCCAAACCAGAAAGGAGGACAGAAAAATCGAATAGGAGGACACTTACGACGTATCCTGTGACTTTGCCTTTGTGAACCAGGGCCAACGTCGGAAGCATGAATATACGTAGCTTCTCGGCCAGGTACGGGCTCTTCTCCGCGTTGATCTTGAGGAACTTCGCTTCTAGATGCTCTCTCGCCAAGATCTCAAGGTGCTTGTCCATGATCTGCGAGGGAAATGATACGATTTTTAGTCGACTCAAGGAAAATCGAAAGGGGGAAACGAGAGAAATTGAATGATATGCGCAACAAAACACCACATTGACTGCACAGAAACGAACCTGACATGGCCGGCTGCTTCGGAAGAAGTGACAGACGACGTTGTCTGAGGTTTTGACTTCACTAAAGAACTCCTTTTCTGATGAAAGCTCTTTAAAGTGACCGTGGCCGGCTGCTAGCCACTCCTGCTTCTTCTGTGCCTGTTGCTTGAGCTCCTTCAGCCGTCGCTCTCGTAGTTGTTGAATGTCATCCGTTTCTATCTTCTCAATTTCCGCGTCGATGACCGACTCGAGGGCCTGACCAAAACGAAGCAGCTTCTCGTCTACGACAGTGGATGCCATGCTGAGTGGAACCTCGTGCCAATCTGTCAATGGACGCCTCTTCTGCCTCAACCTAGAAAACGTCTGCTAAGGACTACCACAGGATACGAAACGAGATGAAAGAGGATGAACAGTCAGTACGAGTGGTCTCGACCTTCGCGTCCAAACAGAAGGTATATAGCTAGGAACGTAGCAGATACAAGCTAGACAACGCTCGTACTCGTGGTTCACTTAGAGTCGTTTTAGATCGATTAAAACCCGCGGGCCAAGAAGTTCAACCTTAGGACGCGGTACAGTGGGAGGGTCTCAGGATCGAGGGTTCGAGATTGTTTTTTTTAGCCCCAGATTCGATTGGCGAAACGAGGGGCCCGCTTGGTTGTAACGATCGCCCCAGCGTGATGGGTTGGCTCTTCCACAATCGATATTTTGGGTTTGCCTGCGACACAGTCCGCAACACTTGCAACATTTCGCAGCACACAGGGCAACCAAAAGCGACATTCGCAGCCCACAGGCCCACATTGCGGGAATTATGCGCGACTCCATTCACCCGCGTTGCGAAATTACAGCACTTCGCTGGCATCAATATCAATCGTGCCTGTTGCGATTGGTTCTTGAACATCATATGCACAGTGATGCCTCGGAAAGTTGAACACCGATAATTGATCAGTCGCATTCACTACCTGTGCACAATATGTCGACAAAATCGAATCTGTAGCATGGTTACAAGTTCGTAAGCAGGGTAACTGACCTGCACACCGATCGCAGCTCACGATCGAACGTCTACAGTTACCGCGTCCTTATGAAGGATGGTTGGGAGTGAAAACGAAATAGCCTCGCGAACCAATAGGAGTGTCGAAAATGTTGGACGAGGTCTAGAACTCGGGAATGATCAAGGGCGTTTTTGGGAAGGATGAACCAATTTTGGCCTTTTGGCCTGTGGGTTTGAAGTATGGTTTTTAAAGCTTTCGTATACATTTGAAAAAGGGAGGTTCAAAAGTTTTGAAATCTGAAATATTGGTAACCCAGCAACAGCTAGTTTCACTCGCTTCACAAGGGAGGTGATCTCCCCGTCACCCAGGGCTCACTGGTGATTCAAAAATTTTGGAATAACAAAAGTATACGAAATCCAGTCCATGTGAGATCTACGCCACTACGCTCAACAAGCAGCATAAATCGTAGCAAAGCACATCGCGACAACAGCCAGCGCAAATCACTCCCGTTTCCGACACAAACTTAGACGCGTGGGGCAGTTTAGTGTAATTACACGTCCGAGCCAACGTCAGTTCCGCCCTCTAACACGGCGAGCCCGCCGGACCCCTTCTCACAGCCTCGCCTCGTCGTCCGTCGCGTTGCCTCACCACGCGGCCTCCTCACGCCACCGTGAACGCGCACGCTGCGTCTCAAACTGCCGAACACGCACGATCACAGTCGCTTCCCGATCGCGCGACCTCGCTACCACGTTTCCGCAGTAGCGGCGGCAGCCGCAATTGAGGTGTCGCGAGGGTAATCAGAAACGACTGCTCCCCATTACCTCTTCCCGCCTCCCCGTTTCCCCTTCCCGCCTCCCCAATTCCCCTTCCCGACACCCCATTTCCTCTTCCCGCTCCCCATTACCCCTTCGCGCCTCCTCGTTTCCCCTTCCCGCTCCCCATTACCCCTTCCTGCCTCTGCAATTCCCCTTCCCGCCACCCCATTTCCTCTTCTCGCTCCCCATTATCCCTTCCCGCCTCCCCGTTTCCCCTTCCCGCACCCCATTACCCCTTCCCGCCGCCCCAATTCCCATTCCCGCTCCCCATTACCCCTTCCCGCCTCCCCAATTCCCCTTCCCGCTCCCCATTACCCCTTCCCTCCTCCCCGTGACCCCTTCCCGCTTCCCCATTACCCCTTCCCGCCTCCCCGTTTCCCCTTCCCACTCCCCATTTCCCCTTCCCGCCTCCCCAATTCCCCTTCCCGCCTCCCCAATTCCCCTTCCCGCCTCCCCAATTCCCCTTCCCGCCTCCCCAATTCCCCTTCCCGACACCCCATTTCCTCTTCCCGCTCCCCATTACCCCTTCGCGCCTCCTCGTTTCCCCTTCCCGCTCCCCATTACCCCTTCCTGCCTCTGCAATTCCCCTTCCCGCCACCCCATTTCCTCTTCTCGCTCCCCATTATCCCTTCCCGCCTCCCCGTTTCCCCTTCCCGCACCCCATTACCCCTTCCCGCCGCCCCAATTCCCATTCCCGCTCCCCATTACCCCTTCCCGCCTCCCCAATTCCCCTTCCCGCTCCCCATTACCCCTTCCCTCCTCCCCGTGACCCCTTCCCGCTTCCCCATTACCCCTTCCCGCCTCCCCGTTTCCCCTTCCCACTCCCCATTTCCCCTTCCCGCCTCCCCAATTCCCCTTCCCGCCTCCCCAATTCCCCTTCCCGCCTCCCCAATTCCCCTTCCCGCCTCCCCAATTCCCCTTCCCGACACCCCAATTCCCCTTCCCGCCTCCCCGCTTCCCCTTCCCACTCCCGATTATCCCTTCTCGCCTCCCTTCTCAAACTGGCGAACACACATCACAGTCGCCGCCCGATCGCACAGCCTCGCTACCACGTTTCCGCACTAGCCGCGGCAGCCGCACTCTCATTTCCCCCCTTGCAGACTCTCATTTTCCCCCTTGCTCACTCTCATTTTCCCCCCATGCTCTCCCTCATTCCTCCCCCCTACTCCCTCTCATTCCCCCCATGAAGCCCCTCATCCCCCCCTTTCTCCCTCTCATCTCCCCCCCTGCTCCCTGTCATGTCCCCACCTTCTCTCTCTCATGTCACCCCCTTCTCCCGCTCATTTCCCCCCATTCTCCCTCTCATTTCTTCCCCTTCCCCCTCTTATATCTCCCCCTACTCCCTCTCATTCCCCCCATGAAGCCCCTCATTCCCCCCCTTTCTCCCTCTCATCCTCCCCCCTGCTCACTGTTATGTCCCCCCTTCTCTCGCTCATGTACCCCCCTTCTTCCTCTCATTTCCCCCCCTTATCCCTCTCATTCTCCCCCCTGCTCCTTCTCATTCCCCCCTTAACCACTCAGTTAAATGCCACATAACCTCCCTCTCAATTCCCCTCATTCCCCCCCCCTTCCCCCTCTCGTTTCCCCCCATCTCCCTCTCCTTTCCCCACGTGCTCCTTCTCATTCCCCCCCCCTTCTCCATCTCGTTTCCCCCCCGCTCATTTCCCCCCATCTCCTTTCATTTTCCCCCCTTCTCCCTCTCATACGCTTCTAACCCCTACCGTACCCTTGGATGATCGCATGCCATACTCATCCATCCGCCCCCATACACCGCCACACCCTTCCATCTCCTCCCATACCCTTCCATACGCCAGCCAAGCCCGTCCCTCATTCTGCCATACCTTGCCATACTCTGCCATACCTTTCCTTCCCTAGCGTAAGTGTACCATTCCCTTCCATACCCCAGCCATACCCATCCATCCCCTGTCATACCCTTCCATTCCCTTCCATACCCTTCCATACCTTCCATTCCCTTCCATACCCTTCCATTCCCTTCCATACCCTTCCATTCCCTTCCATACCCTTCCATTCCCTTCCATACCCTTCCATACCCCAGCCATACCCATCCATCCCCTGTCATACCCTTCCATTCCCTTCCATACCCTTCCATTCCCTTCCATACCCTTCCATACCCTTCCATTCCCTTCCATACCTACCATTCCCTTCCATACCCCAGCCATACCCTTCCATACCCTTCCATTCCCTTCCATACACTTCCATTCCCTTCCATACACTTCCATTCCCTTCCATTCCCTGCCATTCCCTTCCATTCCCTGCATTCGTGCACAGGCATATGACTAGTCACGTGATTGGTATCGAAGAATCCAGGGTTGGGTGATAAAGGTTATGTATTTAGTGATACAATTGTAAGGACTTTTTTTATAAAACATGTTGTGAGGCTACGAGCTTGATTTTGGTCCTGAAGTGCCAAAAATGTACTAAAGTTGGGAGTGTATGCATGCTTCTTGAATCACAAGTGCATAGTAATAAATACGCAGGGAGCTGCCGCACAAGTTGGCGGCTGCTGTTGTATGCCTGGCGTTGGTGTGCAGCAGAGGGGAGCGATGCATTGTGTGCTGCTTGGTGGACCTGCCGGTGAGAGGAGTGGGGGGGGTCAGGGCTGAGAAAGGGACGAGGAAGGGGAAAAAGAAGGCACATATCAGGGTGAGCTCAACCAAAGCCTGGAGAGAGTGCCCTTAGTCATCCAAGTGGCGTGAAAACGGTTGTCTAGGCAAGTCCCAAGGCATGCGATGGGACGCGCACAGTACCTGAGAGGCGTGAACGATGGGACAAAACTTGAGATGAGTCGAGCTCGCTTGCACGCACCATCTGCCGCAACAGCCTCGCTACCTACTCCTCCTCCCTCTCCCTCCGCCTCGCTTCCTCATCGAGCCTCACACCCTGCTCGCTCCCCAGTCCACTGCTGACATGGCTGCTTCGATAGTGTGCACCCAGCGTGAGAGACCCCGCATGCTGCATCTCCTGCGGCTTGCGCACTCATGAGCGCGCTCGGCTGTGAGACCGCAGCAGGGCTCACTCGCTCTTGGTTCTGCTGTTGCTGCCCATGCACCTGCCGCTGTTCTTGCAAGATCATCCCAGCTCCAACTCCTCGTGGGAGCTGCTGCTACATTAGCAGGGACTGAAGGAGCGAGTGGGATCTCATGGGAGGTGAGATGACCCTGGAAGGAGGGGGGATGAGAAATTAAGGCATGGCGATGGGAGAGCGTGGAAGGGAGAATGGAAGGGAGCGAGTGGGGGGCAGTATTTTGCAAGGGATCCACCCTGTAAGGGAGGGAAGATGAAAAGGACGGGAGGGCAGTGGGGCTATGCCAGAGCTGGGAGGGAAATGAAGGGGAGCAAGGTGGGGAAAATAAGGGGAGAAGGGGGGGAAATGACGGGGAGCAAGGTGGGGAAAATAAGGGTTTAGGTTGGGAAATGAAGGGGTGAAGGAGGGAAATGAGAGGGAAGCGGGGAAGCGAGAGTAAGCAAGGGTGGAAGTGAGAGGCGGCAAGGGGGGAAATGAGAGGGAGGAGGGGGAGAGATGAGAGGCGGCAAGGGGGGAAATGAGAGGGAGGAGGGGGAGAGATGAGAGGAGCAAGGGGGGAAATGAGAGGGAGGAGGGGGAGAGATGAGAGGCGGCAAGGGGGGAAATGAGAGGGAGGAGGGGGAGAGATGAGAGGCGGCAAGGGGGGAAATGAGAGGGAGGAGGGGGAGAGATGAGAGGAGCAAGGGGGGAAATGAGAGGGAGGAGGGGGAGAGATGAGAGGAGCAAGGGGGGAAATGAGAGGGAGGAGGGGGAGAGATGAGAGGAGCAAGGGGGGAAATGAGAGGGAGGAGGGGGGGAGATGAGAGGAGTAAGGGGGGAAATGAGAGGGAGGAGGAGGGGAAATGAAGGGGAGCAGTGGGGGAAGTGAGAAGGAGCAGGAGGGGAAATGAAGGGGAGCAGTGGGGGAAGTGAGAAGGAGCAGGAGGGGAAATGAAGGGGAGCAGTGGGGGAAGTGAGAAGGAGCAGGAGGGGAAATGAAGGGGAGCAGTGGGGGAAGTGAGAAGGAGCAGGAGGGGAAATGAAGGGGACCAGTGGGGGAAGTGAGAAGGAGCAGGAGGGGAAATGAAGGGGAGCAGTGGGGGCGCTAAGCGGGAAAGGCGCGCAGCGGGTGCGGCGCTAAGCGGGAGAGGGTGAGGCGACACGCGGGAAAGGCGCACAGGGGGTGAGGCGCTACGCGAGAGAGGCGCGCAGCGAGTGATTCGTTGCGCGGGAGAGGCGCGCAGCGGGTCAGGCGCTAAGCGGGAAAGGCGCGCGGCGAGTGATACGCTAAGCGGCATGGTGCGCAGAGGGTGAGGCGCTAAGCGGGAGAGGCTCCCAGCATTGGAGGCGGTAAGCGGGAGACCCGCGCAGTGGGTGAGGCGCTAAGCGGGAAATGCCTACCGAGCGGGTGTTGAGAGTGGCGGCGTGGCCAACGCATGGAACGATGCGATCCCGCCGTCGGCTCCGTAATTTTCAATCGGCTTACTCGATCGCACCTACCCAGCGTGGTGATGCAACCCGTCGAGGCGCCCTTGACAGGGCTTCGACGGGGCCCATCAATGCAGCACGACGCGCTCGACGAATGCAGAGCCTTTCCCTCTCCGATTGCCGCTGAACGGCGCAGCAGTGGAAAGGAGCTGGCGTGCAAGCTAGATGTATTTTCCCACTCGCACAAGCCTATAATGTACCTAAACTCATCTCACATGAGAATATCTGAGCGGTGTCGATGCTCCGCATGTTCTTTGTCGCGCCCCGGTTCCTCTATCTATGCTTAGCGTATGTTAGTCACGTATCATGGTTCCTAGTGAAATCTGTCTCCAAGGTTGGGTGACGGGGGAGTTTCCTGTGTTTGGAACTCCTCAAAGCTGCAATTTTTCGCCAAACCTCTCGCCACGCTCAGTTGTTTCGTTCTGGCGAATTTTTCCCTGGCTACAGTGCAAGTCCAAACAGTACTTGCAAATGTATACGAAAGCTTTAAAGCTCGCGTCTCAGATTTCCAACCTTTTAACACTTGGTTGGGTTTTCCCGTCTGTGATTGGGTAACGAATGACGAATTATTTGACGAGTGGGTGAAAAAAACACAGCGAACTCCCAAACAGTCGAGGCCAAAACAAACCAGGGTGGGTTGGTTTGGGTGGAAAACGAGCCAAGGGGGACAGGTTTGGTCCCGGGTTCTGTCAACGTTGAGTTCAGAGTCTCATATTTTCGAGAGTTGTTAACACTTGGTGTGCACGGGGAAGTGTGCGACAGCCAACTTTCCCAACCCACCCCTTGCTTTGGTGTGCTTTGCGACAAACTCTGCTGTTACCGGATTCCAACCGTTTAACACTTGGTTGGATGGCAGAAATATGAGACGCGAGCTTTAACAGCAGTCCCCCATGCTGTCGTGAATGACGATCCGTCATGGGGCTGGGGGACGAAGTGCGGCGGATGGGAGTCTGTTTTCGCAATTGGCGAGAACTTGGGGTTGGGGGAAGCTGTCAGAGTGTCAGATGCCACGTCTGATCCAAGACACTGAGGCTCGTTACACAGAAATCTTTAGAAGTCTATTAACAATGTTGGTTGCGTGAACGCAATCTGTTAAAGAGAATGAAACATATTAACAAAACATGTGCAGAAATCAGGCAATGCTGTTAGCAGAGCGGGCGAACTAGGTGAAACTTGTGGAGCCCAACTTTCCGTCGCGCAGGCGCGAGTGTCGCGGACGAAGTTTGTTTTGGCGCGAATAAATATAGCGAGTCTTGCACTCGAGTTGCCTGCCTACGATACTAACGCTGTTGTTTCGCTTTCGCATCTCGAATTGACAAGCCCCATTACCCTCGCCACAGGTACAATGCCAAATCTTGGGACAGATCGCAGGAGTTTTTCACATGGGTAAGGAGAAAACTTGGTCGCGCATATCACGACGTGGTCCCAGTTAGCGAGGGGTCGGCATAATCTGACGATCCGAACCCCGTCGTTACAACAGGGTCCAACGTCCATTTCTACATCCCCCAAAATCTACGACTAATGTGGAAGGGCGCAATATAAAAGCCCTTTCGTTGTGCAAACTAAGTTATTTCTCAAAAGATCAAGAAACGTTCAGCAAGCTGCCATCTCGAAAGCCGCTGGCTTGTAACAGCCTTCCAACAACCACACTCCAAGCCTTTCTTCATCCATGTGCTGAGGATGTCAGGGCTGCTTCTGCTAGTGGGAAGCGCCGCAGCAGCAAGGGCAAGGGTGGCAGGAGTAGTGGAGGTGGCAGCGGGAGTGGTAGTGGGGGCGGCAGTGGAGGTGGTGGAGGTAGTGGAGGTGGTGGCAGCGATGGGAGTGGTGGCGGGAGTGGGGGCTTTGGTGGCGGCGGTGGTGGCAGCGGTGGGAGCGGCGGTAGTGGCGGCAGTGGGAGTGGTGGCAGTCGGGGTGGAGCTGTTCAGAGGGGACGTTCTGGTGGTGGCCAGCGGCAGCAGCAGCAGCGTCAGAGCGAGACCCCTTCGCCCCAGCAACTTCGTGAGTGGTTTTCTCAGCGTGGGGCGTCTGGGGGTAGTGTTAGCTGCCCGTATGTCATTCGCACGGGTGATCGTATTGGTCAGACATGCGGGAAGCCTCACACTCAGCACTGCTGCTTCTCCCGCCTAGACGATGCTTGGCGCGCAGAGTTTGGTGACGAGGCCGAGCACCCCCGCTGGGTAGAGCTGCTTAGGTCTGGAGTTGCTATCTTTGATCTTGACTATGATGCTATCATTGCTGCTATGTATGCCTTGTCTGTTAGTGCTGAGGGTAACTGTTACCTGTGTGTGCCGCCAGACCCAAGTATAGAGGCTGCTGCTCTAGGTGCTAGTGAGTCTGCTCTCCCTGGTACTGCGCCTGCTGAGGCCTTGCACACCTTTACGCTTGACTCAGGTGCTTCCCGATGTTTCTTTCACGACAGCACCACCCTCACTCCTCTCTCTGCACCTATACCGGTCAGGCTGGCTGACCCCTTAGGGGGCCCGGTTCTTGCCCGTTCCTCCACTGTTCTCCCGTGTCCGGCGGTTCCGTCCGGCTCACTCTCAGTTCTTCACCTCCCCTCGTTCTCTATGAACTTGGTGAGTACCGCTGCCCTCCAGGATGCGATGGCCACTACCACCACTCCTGGGGGTCAGCGTGTGTCGATCTGCACGTGTACACGGACGGGCCGTCACCTGGCCACGTTGACCCGTCGGCGTGGGTCGAGTCTGTACACACTCACTGCTGAGCCTCCTCAGGTAGCTGCATCTGCTCAGGTGTCCGTGTCAGGTCCGGTAGCAGCCCCCTGCTCGTGTCGCCTCGTGTCGCACCAGACTCTCCTGTGGTACCACCGTCTTGGTCACCCCTCCCTGCCACGACTTTGTGGCATGCACTCCCGCCTCCTTGTTTCTGGTGTTCCCAGGTCTCTGCCTCCCCTCCTGCTCTCGCCTGCCTTGCCCTGCCTTCCTTGCGTCGAGGGGCGGCAGCGCGCCGCTCCTCACTCCTCCTCGTTTCCCCTGATCACTGCTCCCCTGCAGACTTTCCACATGGACGTGTGGGGCCTAGTCCGCGTCAGTGGATAGGACCGCGAGCGCTACTTCCTGCTGGTTGTTGACAACTACACGCGTTACACCACGGTCTTCCCCTTGCGCAGCAAGGGTGAGGTCCCTGATGTCTTGATCCCTTGGCTCCGCAAAGTCCGTCTCCAGCTCCGTGAGCGGTTCCGTGAGGACCTTTCTTTCCTGCGTTTGCACTCTGACAGAGGTGGTGAGTTCTCCTCCGACCTCTTACGAGACTTTTTTCGTGGGGAGGGCATTCTCCAGTCGTTCACGCTTTCGGCCTCACCGCAGCAGAATGGGGTTGCTCAGCGCCGCATTGGCTTAGTCATGGAGGTGGCTCGTACCTCCATGATCCATGTGGCTGCTCCCCATTTTCTGTGGCCGTTTGCGGTCCGGTACGCTGCGCATCAACTCAACCTCTGGCCCCATGTTTCTTTGCCGGAAACTTCGCCGACACTGCGTTGGACGGGGAAGGTTGGTGATGCGTCGGTGTTCCAGGTCTAGGGTTCTCGTGCCTTTGTTCGCGATACGTCCGCGGACAAGCTCTCCGCTCGCGCTATTTCTTACGTCTTCCTTGGCTCTCCCCCTGACACGCTTGGCTGGCAGTTTTACCACCCCACCTCGCGTCGTGTCGTCACCTCTCATGACATCATGTTTGACGAGTGAGTTCCCTTTTACCGTCTCTTCCCCTACCGCTCTGCCCCTCTCCCACCCCCGCCACTCTTCCTTGCTCCAGGTCCCCCTCCGGTAGACCCCCTCCCCCCTCAGGGTCCTGCCCCCTCAGGTGTGTCTCAGGCAGACCCTGTCGAGCCTGTCGAGGTAGCTGTCGACTCAGGTGCTGCTGGGGGTGGTGCTACTAGGGGTACTAAGTCTGGGGGTGCTGAGCCGGCGGGTGCGGGGTCTGGGGGTACTGAGTCTGCGTGTACGGAGCCTGGGGTTGCTGAGTGTGAGGGTGCGGAGCCTGGGGGTGCTGAGCCTGAGCGTGCGGAGCCTGGGGGTGCGGAGCCTGGGGGTGCTGAGCCTGAGCGTACTGAGCCTGGGGGTTCTTTGTCTACTAGAGGAACTCCGGGTGCCTTGTTGCGGTGGGAGTCTCTCTCTCCACCGCAGCTGTGCGAGTGGTTTGCTCGGCGCACCCGCCTTCAAAGTGGCGCTGCTGGAGCCGGGGGGTCTGCCGCTGGAGGCACTGGAGCTCTTGGTCCTGGAGGTACTGGAGCTGCTGGAGCTGGAGGTGCTGTAGGAGTTGGAGCTGGAGGCACTGGAGTTGGAGCTGCTGGAGGTACTGGAGCCGCTGGTCCCGGAGGTGCTCGAAGTGGAGGTACTGGAGCAGCTGGAGCTGGTGGTGCTGCAGGAGTTGGAGCTGGAGGCACTGGAGCTGGAGCTGCTGGAGGTACTAGAGCTGGAGCTGCTGGAGGTACTGGAGCCGATGATCCTGGAGGTGCTCGTACTGGAGGTATTGGAGCTGGTGGTGCTGCAGGCGTTGGAACTGGGGACCCTTGACCTGAAGAGACCGGAGCTGGAGGCGCAGGCCCCGGGGGTGCTGGTATTGTTGGTGCTGGAGCTGGAGACACTGGACGGCCGCGACCTTACTTCGTTCCCCTGCTTCAGCAGGTTCTTGGTATCCTGTCTTCTACTGGCCTTACTCCTCCCTTACTGTGTCCACCGCCTGACCAGTCGCAGCCGCCGTTACAGCAAGCCTCCCCACTGCCTGCTCCTTCTCCTTACACTGAGCAGACTGGAGGTCTTACAGAGCGTCGTGAGCCTGTGTCTTGTCCTGC